TTCAAGCATTCTGCCAAATTCTTCATTTCGCAGGTGTTACGCACTGCGCATTAAGCAGCACAGTGAGTAAACACATTAAATGCTTTGGAAGAAACAGAAAGGAGGAGAGCTGAAGCTGCCTGGGGCCACACTGACCTACAACAACAAGTGGCCTGGCACGCACCTTCACAATGCCTCCGCAAAAGCGATTTTTGCACAGGCTCTGTCCCACGTAAAGCATCAGTCAAATTGCATCGGTTAAGAGAGGGGAGTCCAAGGGACACCTTCCTCTGTCAGGGCTCTGCACCCCGTGCTAGGAAAGCCACAATCTGCACACGTGCCATTTCCTCACCACCCGCGACTGCCAAATCGCTGGCAATCAGAGATCTTGCCATGCTGGGTGTCCGCGGTGGGCTAGACGCGTCAGGGCTGAGGTCATTACCAAAAACCCTGGGAGGACACAGTGACTCTCGCATTCTCAGACCATGAGCTTGAGCAGCTCGTTTTGAAGTTGATGAATTTGCGGGAAGGGCAGCTGTGGGGCGAATAAAATCCATCCTATCTCTTAGCACTGCTTCCAGCCTCCGCTGAAGGCAGGCTGAGGACCAGGGCAGCTACAGTAGTGAGTGATGGGGCTGACAAAATTCTCCTGGTGGCTGCATAGCTCTTGGCAGCTCATGCCAGCCTTTGGTTTGGTAAGAAAGGACAGTGAGAGCCTTCTCGAGATGCTGTGCACTTCAGATCAGGACTGACCAAAGCCACGTGTCTGCCCCTTTGGGGAGGTCTGGCTTTCCAGCTTCCATTTCTATTCCAAAAAGGGGCATTATGCCAAAAATGCTCTGATTGTTTTTCCTATGGTGAGGCTGGCAATGCTCCGAATTCTGCATTAAGAAAATGATGACAGCCTTAATTTCTACCTTTTTTCGGACGCACACAAAAACATCAGTTTTTGTAAGCTCCGAATGTTCCCTGCTGTTTTGAGGGTGAGCGCAGAACACTGCTTTTCCACTGGAAATCTCCAAGCTAACTCCACGCAGCAGGAGGTGGCAGGAGGTGGCCGGAGTCCCAGACCTGGGCCTCACGGACACACACCAGCCTGGGAGGACACTCAGGATGCTCCACACCAAGAGATGGGGATCGGGAAGTGGGGATGTATTCTCCGAGGTGACCACTAGATGGGAACACAACCAGGAACGTCGTGGTGCACTGGATCGTCCGGGAATACTGACTTAACCAAGAGATTCTTCTCCCATCTGCTTGATTTGAGCTCATCCGAACAAAACAGCTTGGGTGGGTTGAAAAAATTCGTCAAGTTTTGACTAGTGATGAAGTGGCTGAAACGAAATATCCCTGTGGAAAACAAAACTAAATAAACTGGGTGAATAAGCTGTGAGAAGAAACAAGGTGTGAGAAGGGCATGGGTGGGCTGAGCGGGCGGATCTCCTGAACGAGCTACAGATGTTTGGGAAGCCACAGACACACTGATTTTCTGAGGTACTGAGTTCTCCTGTTTCCTCCAAACATCAGTACTGTGTCCTTTTTACAGTCAGAAGTCTCACTCAGCAAGGGGACCTTCTTCTGTCCCCTTAGTACAACTCTTCAGTCTGAATGACTAAATGACAGCAGTTCTGGGAGAGGCAGCTCACCTGGCTTCTCTCCCTCATCCGTGCAGCTCGTACAACTGCCTCGGCTTCCTGTTATAATGAAGGATACTGACAACCAGCCTGACAAACCAGAACAAGACCACTGAGGACCACTGACAAACCTCCACAGACAAGTGGTGCTTCCCAGTTGGGACTGGTGCCCATTCACTCGTGCATCTCCTGAATTTCTTCTAGGTTGTCCCAGCAAGAGGCTGATGCCCTCTGGTGACGGGGTCAAAAGGATCAGCCCGGCATCCATCAGGTTAGGGCAGAGAGATTTCTCAATATTTTTTGATCAGTTGTTTTAATCTCCCAGTTTGCTGGGAAAGCTTTTAATCATACAGGATGGAATTATATAATGGGAGTGTTGGAGTAATTTAGGTTTGGCACCAGCTTTATTAAAATAATGATGATCATTTGTGCAAGGACGAACTTCTACATTTACTGATAGAAAACCTTCTATCTGTCCTTCTTTCCACTCATCTTCTTCCTTCCATCCTTCCATCCTTCCTTCCTTCTTTCCATCCATCCATCCATCTACGACCCACCCAGCCATCCACCCATCCTTCCCTTTTTTCTTCATCATAAACACAAAGGATGACTGCTACTGACCCAGCCCAGCTTTGAAAGGAGTGTGTGATTTGTGAGTGTTTCCAGCCCATTTAACCTCCTCACTCTCCTCCCTGTGCTTCATACCTGACCTTCTGACAAGCAGCCCTGCGACGAGGTGCCAGAGGCACTGTGCAATCCGAGGCTTGCCTCAGCGGGGACCAGGACCAGCTGTCCAAACGTCCTCCACCTCTGTGATGTAACCCAGGACTATCACAGAGGCTTCCTCCAGATCTTGGCAAACTTGTGACATGACCAGCTGAGGCACTGCAAGGAAACTTGCTGAGGGTGCCACATGACTCACAAAGGGCTGAGATTTCCAAAGCTCCTCTAGTGACATTACCGTGAGGTATGCAACAGGCGAGACGGCATCTGGAGGGAGAAAGGTGAGCCTCCCAAACTAAATGCATCGCCCCGTCATCTCTTGTGTGGGATAAAGAGTGTGCTAAAGGAGGTTTGGTTTTAGCCCCTGCAGTAGCCACGGACACCGTGGGAATGCTAATTCAGGTTTGGTACCAGCAGGCACACCACAGATGCTGAAGAAGTTCCTCGCTCAAGAAGCAGTAAGGTGATGGATGGCTGAAGGTGACTATTCCTGCTCTGGTCTCTTTGCAGCTTTGTGACTAGCTGCTGTGTTTGGAAAGACTTTTCTCCTAATGCCCCCCTAAAATTTGGGTATGCTGTGACAAGGGGAAATATTAACACTAGTAACATTTGCACAAAAGCACAAAGAGTTTACAGTAAGCGTGACTTCAACAAAGCACTGTACTTCCCTGGAGCACCAAGGGAGGAGCTGTTGCCATTGCTTTCTAGGTCAGACACCCCCGGGCTTGGAAACAAGCACCGGCTGTCCTTTGCCTGAATCCCAAGAGGCTGGTATGGGTTTCGGATAAAATACCGACTTGTGGTCAAGAATGCCAGAGCGGAGTTACTGGCAGGGCATTTCTGGGATGGGGTCCCGCCAGAGGAAAGAGAGTTGCAGCCAAAGATGACGCCAAAGGTGGGTAATGCAGGTGAGGGAGAGCTGCACCAGAGGGATGGAGGTGGTGCCAGCAGAAACCATGGGAAGAATGAGGGAGGTTTATGCTCGGAGACAAATTGTTTGAGGTGTGTCATCAGGACCTGGCTGCGTGGCTGCTGGACCGGCAGTCTACGTCCAGCCGGCACAAGCTGTTGAGGTGGCAGGTTGGTATGTGGCCCCAAGCTTTTCAGTTGCTCAATCCCGTGCAGGAGCGAGAAAAACACGGAATCTGGAAGGGCTGTGATGGGCTGGGAGTAAGATGAGCAACAGGATAGGTGGAGAAAGCCCAAGCCAAATCATGACAGTCAGCTAAAATTTAAGATGGACTGGAAAAAACTAAACAAATCCTGCACGGCCCTGAAATTGAACTATTCCTCTTAGATTTACCTGACCTAAGCAGCAATTTACCACTTCTCCAAGTGCAGCAACAGGCACATGGACCCAAATGCTGCAGTGGGAAGATAAGCCCTGAGCTGCAGTGGCTGCTCAGGTGCAGAGGGGCTGGCAGTGAGCAGGGCAGGATTCAGGGTCTGAAGCCTTTCAGCCACTGGAGCTGTAGCAACAGGACCTTATATACACGGGGTGAGAGGACGGAGTTCCACTTTGTGATGCTCCTGCCCAGTGGAGCAGAGGAGTGGAAAAGGAGTTGGAGCAAAAGCATTTGTGTGCCTCTGTGCTGAGTCTCTGTGGGGAGTCCAGGAAAAGTTTCTGGAGGAAAAAGTGTCTGTCCAGGACCGGCCAGAGCAGTTCAGGGACAGGCAGGGAAGCCCAAGGGGGAAGCAGAGATGTGTCACCACATACGTATCCTAACTGGGTCACAGCAAGAATGGAAGGAGGCTCCAAGAATCGATTTTTGTCCCATCTTCCCACTGGGAAAGGCTGCGCTAACGACAAGGCTGTGGCTGGGTTTGCCATCAGCTGTCACAGGTTACCTGGCAGAACAGGTTCCTGTGTGACAAGTGGATTAAGGAAGGAGAGAGGAAGTGAAAAGCTGAAGAGCAGCTAAGAAGGAAGGACCGTGTGACACAGAGTTAACCCAGTTAGCTGGGAATGACCACCGACCCCCTTCTCACTCTGTTCTGAAGGGAGAGACCAAGGGCCAGACAGACCAGTGAAAAAATTGCACCGACCAGACCCATCTTAAACATTGAACGACCCGCACTGTGGGCTGGGTATGAACTGGTCTGCAGACCTTTGCTGTGCTAAGAAGACATCCCTCCTCCTCGTGCACTTCCTACTGGGGAGAGAAAACTGGCAGATTCTGGGCAGAGTGGTTTCAGCCCAGGTCCGCCCAAAACCACACCTTTGCTGTGGCTGGTACTTGTCAGAGGAAAGATAGCAGGGAAAGTAAGTCCAAGTCAGGAAGCAAGTACTGAGCTGGGAAACAGGCAGAGCTATCGTCTCACCTGACTCATCTTTTCCGAAGGAAGGGGTGTAGGCCGCACAGCCAGGGCAGAGCCTTTGGGTGAGCCTCTCCTGGCAGGGACCCTCCCCGGGTCCCACCCACAGCCCCTCTGCTGTCCCAATGGGAGACCAACAGCGTGTTCCCAAAGACACCTCTGTCTCACCTTTCATCTGCTTGATCTCAAGAGCATCTAAGACACGAGGGCAGTTTTAGGAGAGAGGG